TATTCACTTTACTTTCAAAAGGAGTTGAAAATGAAGATTTTTTCATTGGCATTGCTAGGTTTTTAGTTTGTTTTCTTTTTAGACAAGAGTACAGTTTTACAAACTGAGATTCAAAAATGAGATCAATCTTTTAGTTTCAAAACAATTTCAAAATCAGGATTAATATGTCAAATTTTGTGACAAACTTTCATAAATTTGCACAACTACAGAAAAACATTTATATGGCTTTCTAAATCTGTAGACTTTTCTTTTTCAGTCAGTGAAGAAAATGGAATACAGCATGCTTACATGAAAGCAAAAGTAAGAAAAGAATACTACAATCATGTATGTCTGGTATTGAACACTGAATTGAAATAACAATAAAAGGAAGCCAACAAATTCAAAGAATTTCAAGTGAATGAAGAAGAATACAACCTTCAGTTTCAGCTTTTAATCCTGCAATATGCAACCTTTAATGGATATAGGGTTTGTCTACATCAGCTTGTTTGGCATGGATAGAGTATTGACCATTAAGAGGTTTAACTCATTACCATTTCTGAATCTGGTCCATTGCATTTGCTTTTGCCTTCTTTTTTGGTTCTTTGCCACTGCAGTAGGTGGATTATGCCTTACTTGCTCTTGAAGTGGGAATTTAAAAAATGTGGTATATGAAGATATTAATAATTCTAGTTGTGGTTGAGGCTCTAGGTTTCATTGAAAAAGGTCCTAACAAACTGATGGATCCCTGGCAACCCATACTGTAAATAAATACAAAAAGTGTTCTCACAAGCACAACCCATAGCCTACAAAGGGCTTTATCTAAAATTTTTGTAAAATGTATATGTATTTGTAGGTTTTTTTTTAAACAAATGTTTAGTGGAAAATATCATGATGTTATTTTTTACCTTGGGTCTCTGGTTGGAACTGAGAAGGAAATGAGTATACAACAGAAATCAAAGGAAAAAAATAACAACAACAAGAACAAGAGGAGATCTAAACACTTATATGGAAAGTACCCAAACTATCAGGATGAACTAGACATTGATGTTTGCTAAACCAATCAATTGCTTAGAAGCAGTGGTCTTAAGCCGGATACAACTAATGCCAACAAGGCTAAAATCAACAAGGATGGCTCAAATCCTGCCTATTGCTTATGCCAAAAAATCTGATGAAACTGCTGACCACATAGTATCAGGGTACACAGTCCTTCCTGAAAAAGAACACATTATTAGATATTACAGGCTAGGGTAATATGATTATTGGTATGCCTGTTCATACTATGGTATTGAAGTCCCATATACATGGTACAAACACCACCCAAATGGTGATGGAATGACTATACTGTGGAATTTCTCAATCATTATAGACAGGAAAATTGATGCAAATAGACTAGACATAGTTATAAAATATTTCAAAACTAATTGATATGATTTGCTCACATGATTCCAATGTTTCTAAATAAGAATTTTAAAAACTGTCAAATTGAAATAACAAAAATGTGGAAACTTAAAACTACAATTATCTCTGTTGTGATAGGGACATTGCGTATGATAAAGGGTATGGAAAATTATGTGAGTTAAAGTCCAGGACACATTAATCTCTCAGAGCTATAAAAGACTACTTTGTGTGGAAATGCACATATCGTCTTCAAAACCCTCTCCATTTAAACCAAACATCCCAAATGTGCATAGGTAACTCTCCTTGGATTCTCCTTTTACTCATAGACCCTGGAGGGAACTTGGTAATTAGGCACTTAAAATTAATCTCTGGTAAAATGATACCACACATAATAATAATACTAATACTACTACTACTACTAATAATAATAATAACAGCAACAATGACAACAAAAACAACACAAGTACAGCCCACACCTTACGAAGGGCTTTATCTATATAAAATATATACAATTTTTTTTTTCCAAATTGCTCAGTGGAGAATGTCATGATGCCATTTCTGACCTTTGGTCTCTGGTTGGGACCTGGAAAGAAATGAGTACACACCAGAAATCAAAATAACTGCTACAAATTCTGTAAAAATGTTTCTGTGTTCAAAAATATATTCAATGCTATATTTTCTTGGCTGATGTAATTTAGACATAACATTCATAATTGAAATGTAACTGTTCCATTTTCATCTTCTCTACCAACAGCAAATTATTTTGAATATATTTAAGAAGATAAAGTATTTTTCTATTTTGCTTTCTTTGTCACTCTTTCAGTTTAAGGAGATGTTGTTTAATCAAAAGCCACTGGAAGTGTTAAGAAATAAGTCAATGTGGCATGAAAATCTTGAATTAAAATGTCAATTAAAAGCCAAAGCTGAGAATAACTGCCAGTTATCTCCCTTTATAGTAAATATTGATCTACATTATTCTATTATTATTATTATTATTTATTTATTTATTTATTTTTTACAGGTAGAAATTGATCTAGTGCAACTTTTTAAGATAATGAAAAGAAGAATTTTCTCTCTCCTATGGCATCTTAGTTGTGTTTTATACTTTTGGGGATCTGTCATGCATTGTATTTTTTTTATTATCATTGCTTTTGGGGATGAAAATCAAGAAATCAGTTGAAGATTAGCATGATTAAAGCTTGCTGGAACTTGGTAAGTACCACAGGAATAGGGAAATAGGTTTCTGGATTCAAATTTACATTTAAGGAGAATTAATGAAAAATTAGAAAAAAAGAATGAAAATAAATAAACAATGGATATATTTAAAATGTTGATAAAAATCTGGATTAAATTCAAAATGCTGACTGGCAAACATGGAATCCTGAGGATCAGCATAACAGCCTAACCACCCCTAAAACCGTGAGTGGTTGTACCAGTCTTTGAAAGAGTTCAGTTGTCTTTATTTTTTGTAACTTACAATAACCTGCCTTTTATCCCTAACTTTGCTTCAAGGGACAAAAGTAGATTCTTCCAAGCATTAGTTTGGCAGACTTGGATTACTCTTACAATTGATGTGATGAAAGAAACAGAGCAGAAAGGGGAAAGGATAAAAAAATAGAGACAGAGAATTGCAAAGACATGAAAGGAAAGAATAAAGAAAATAGAGGGAAAGGATAGCTTAAAAATATAGCTGAAAAAAGAAAAAGAGAAAGGGGAAAGAACAAATAGAATTATAAAAAAGAAAGAAAAACTAAGGCAAGTAGAAAGAGTGTGAGAGTGAATTCAATGACAGAGAAAAATATATTAATGAAGAAGATTAAAATAAAATTAGAAGAGAAGGGAAATAAGAATGTGAAAGAAAGAACAACCGGTTGACAATAATGAAAGTGATGTACAAAATAAAGTAGAACAAAAATGAAGAAAATGGAGAGAAAGAGTGAGAAAATGATGTAACAATAAAAATGTTTTAAGCGAAAAACAAAGAGAGTAGAAGGAGAAATAGGGAAAAGGGTCTAATGATGAATATGAAGTGAGAATAAGCAAAATGGAGTTTGGAGAGTAATACATGAAGAAAAGAAATATTGATTTTGTTGTTCAACTGAGGTTGTTGCTGCCACTGCTGGGCGTTTTCTACTGCAGCCTCTTCGCCATAATGATGCAGTTTCGCTCAGAGACAGTTCAATATCATTATCAGTGTTATTAGTGGTGCTGTTGCTGAGTTGTATTAGTAACGACGAGGGTAAGGGAGACTTGAATCAGAGAGCAACTCTCCTCTTACAGATCGATACGCAACAGACTCGGCCATCAACAGCAGCAGTAGTTGTATTCATTGTTGATTTGCCTCATCTCGTAACTCCCTCATCACTCTCTTTACTTTACCCCACTCTAATACTTCTGCCTGTCAACATTAACTCTCTCTTTCACTGCTTCTTTATCTATACTGACAATTTCACTTCATCCATTTATTTTAAATCTTACCTTAAATCTCTCTCTTGACTCTTTGTTCGTCTCACTCAGCTCCCCTTTCCTCATCTTTTTCCTCTCCCTTGTTCCACATCTTCCTCTTACCCCTCACATTAACTACTTCTTACTTCTCTCTATATAGTGCGTTGCATCTCTTTCCCCCCTTATCTGTATCATCCTTTTCTCTTAATTCCTCTTTCGTCTTATATTGTACTTACATCTCGTATCCATCCCAGTTTATTCTCCTCCACCTGTATATTTACCTCTCACTACATCTCATTTTTCCTCTCTCTTTTAAAGTGTACTTAATCTTGCTTTTCCCCTTTGTCTAGTTTACTTGCACTAATAACTCTCCGTCTCCCTCTTTGCTACTTGTTTTCCTACTCTCTCATTCATCCTTATCTCTTTCTTTTCCCTTCCTTGTCGCATCTCCATCGTCGGAGAAGGCGATTGAATAATATCATCATCGCCAACAACAAGGGACGAAGAATTTCCCGGTTCACAAGCTTCTTTCTGCAATTTTTCTTCGGTTTTACACAGTAGTAGTGATTGCTCTCTACTGCTGTTTTTTTCTGAAATATCCGATTCTAATTTATAGGCCAAGACAAACAAATAACCCACATACACCTCTTTACATACATACATATTTACACAAATACACATACACACACACACTAACATACACACACACACACATACACACACACACACACACACACACACTCCCAAATTTGATTTCATTTTATTGGAAAACAACGAAGCCCCAGAAATAAAAAAAGAAAACCTTTTAATTTTGACCTTACAATAGAGGAAACAAGCACCATTAATTTATTTCAATGAGAAGCTTCTTTTTTTAACCTTACATGACGTTTATTTGTTTGCCTTGTGTCGGGTTTTTCTAGGCGGAAAGGAAAACGGAACCATAAACAACGGAATTATTTCAAGATTTTTATATTTCAAATAAGAAAAAAGACAATTGTTGAAGAAGAATTTCATTGTTTCTTTCTCACTTTATCACCAAACATGGTTAAATTTCGTGAAACAGTTTAGTTTTTTAAAAAGCAAATATTTGGGAAAAATAAAGAAAGGTTTGAGAAAAATCAATTTCAAAGGATTTACTAAATTTTCTCTTCTTCGTTACAAAAAAATTTTCTTCGAAAATGGTGCAACAGACTTTGGTTGAAAATCATCCTTTGACTCCACATTCCCGTAAGTAATAAGATTATTTTTGGGATTCCTCATTTTTGTCATCAGTCATTCATTTTTAGTTCAACTTATTAAAATATTTCTTTATCTTGCGTTCTTCGCTATTGATTTATGATTGCTTTCACTTATCGTCATTTCAAGACGGTCGTACGATTTTTCTTTAAGTTTAAATTAATTATTAATTTTAGAGAATAAAGAAGGAAAGAAATTATTCTTTTGTGAGTCAGTTTCATGCCAAAAAACACTCTAGGTTGAAGACTTTTAGAAACAACAAAAAATCCAAACTATAAAGAAAGAAATACATTTAAAAGAATAATAAACAAATTATAAAATTTGAGCAAAATCACTTATGGTTCAGATTACAGTTTCACATGATGATACAATCTACAAACCAACTGGTCGTCAATGATACTTAACTTAAAGAATGCTTTTTTACTCTTTTTAGAATTTAAAATTATACGCGAAGAGAAAAGCTTGATTATGTTACTTTTCCTGTTTATTGCCTTTCAACATTTCTCGATAATCATCAGGTCAAGAAATTAATGAAAAAATATTGATCAAAATGTTGTAACCATTAATCATTACACAATTTATTTAATTGATTTTTGCGTTAAAAATATTATAGGCACAATTTTACAAAATTTTAAACTGCCTCTAAAAGTTCCTTTGGTTCCATGAAATAAGGCAAAGAAAAAAAACATTAATTTTAAATCGACCGAGATCGAATTTAAAAGGATTCAATATGTTTCATTATACGAATTAAAGAATATATTTTTTGGAACTGAGAAAAAAAAAACGGATTCAGATTTAAAATGTTTATTGATTTTGTGTTGAATTCCCCACCAGATTCTTTAACAGCAAATAACGCCAGGTTATGTAATTTATGAAATTGCTTGAATTTTTGGTTCTATCATCCACCAAAGAAATATCGAAGTGATAAAAAATAGTTGAATTTCCTGCTCCTTTCAAAAAGGCCACCGTTGGACTTCTATTTAAAAAAAAATCATAAAAATACAAACGTTTCACATATTTTTACAGTTGAAATTAATTAAATAATTCATAATTGAACCGTCCATATTTTTCCACTTTCAAAAGCCACGATCATTTGTACAAATCCAGCAATGAATTCCTGCTAGTGCTAAGTATTATTAAATGACAAATTATTATATTTGGTGGACTCAAACATAACTTGAAAGCCTCCTGAATGTCTCTTCTGAACAATTTATAACTAAATATTAAGTATTGACCCTTTGTTATGTAAGTTGTCACAGGCCAAGATTTGAATGGTTTCATCTTCAACCAAATATGTCCGTCTCTTGAGCGACTTTCATTTTCACCTTGATGGCTTCGATGACTGACATTCTTTCTTTCTTTCTTTCTTTCTTTCTTTCTTTCTTTCTTTCTTTCTTCACGCATTCAGATTTTCTTTCACGAAAACTCCTTTCCTAATTTTTATTATTGTAAGTTAATCGATTAAATCGATTTATTTGCTTCTAGAATGTACGTTTCCCATTGGTAAAGTCGAACACTTCAGTTGTCAATTCGTCGCGTGCTTATGAATCTCTCCTCAGCTACAGAATGAAAACATAGCAAGCATGTTTATTTTATTTTTTATGAATATAAAATGCTGAAATTATTATTTTATTTTTTATTGTACAGTTTTGTTTTAATTCATTATAAGAAATTGACCAAATCACGTGAATGCTAGGGTTCATATGACATTTTTTAACCTTTCATCAAATCTCAGTTTTTCTAATTCTATAAAATAACAAGAATTAATTTTGATTACACAAATGTTTACTTACTTTCCTGTAAAAATATTAATCAAATGATTTGAGCCAAAGCACATCAAGGAATTAATAAAACAGCGAAAAGAAAAACCTGTTTGAAATTTTATTTTCAAATGCAAAACGAAAACGCAAAAAGCGAATGAAAAAGTCCCCAAAGTGCCTGAAATAGTTAAAAACCAGAGAAATCGCAGAAAGAAAAATAAATCGTTAAAAATTGTAATAAAAATTATTAATTTTGTTTTCCTTTCATTGTACTCAAACTGTGTCGTGTTTGTTTAGGAAATGAAGTAATATTAATAATCATCAAAGCTTACTACAATTTGATCACTAACCGTTACACCACAGTAATCTTCAATTAATTAGCTTAGACAAAAAAAGAGACGACAAATATTAGACATTTAATTTAATGTTTAAAAAAGGTTTTATCCAAATTAAACAAGAGAAGTATGACGATGTTAATAATTAGCTATTAATAAAGTTTAACTTAATTGTTAAAAAAGTTAAAACTACAGCAAAATTTGTATGTGTAAAAATGCAAATTGCTTTCTTGCAGTTATATCTTTTTAGAGCAGGCAGACTTATTTGAAATGTCCATAGTAATGGATATGACTCTGAAAGACAGAAAGTTCATACACTTCAATTCAGTCTCATAGTTTACAGGTGAAAAATAAATACAAACATATTGACTTAGAGAAGCTGCTATGTAGTTTCAGTTGCAAGAGAGAGTCTTCATTTATCTTTCTGGGGAAAGAGATTTGCTTGACGTTGATTTGTATAAAAAATATGATATAATTTTTGTTTTTGAGTTGACTTGACTGACTATGACCTCAGAAAGTCTCAACTGTTTTTCTGAAATACAAAGTTGTAGTTTTGTTTTTATCCAAGCCAACAGCGATGCTTTAAATTTCTGTTATAATTCATGAACTGTTTTCTATTTTGACCAACTGTGTTCTACACGTATGTAAATTTCTTATCTTTATTTATTTATTTTTTTTGTGTGTGGATTTTTCCTGGAACCTGCCGTTATTATTAAAATTTTCTATATTTATAGGAAAATAATTTTCATAGTATAAAAGATAGAGCGTTTAGGAATCAACACTGCATGGGACATGGCGAATATAAGTTTCAAGCTCATCATGGGATCATCATGCAGTGTTGATTTCACTGCCCATTTCTCTTACATGTCTTGAAAAATTTGCAATAATTTATTACATTTTGTTTTGAATATTACTAATGAAGTAATAAAATAATATAAACTTAAGCAAGCGTCTGCTTTTTACGCTCTTTTAATTTTTGCACTTTGAAATTTGCGAACATTTTCAAATAAAAATAAAGGAAAATAGATTAAAAAATGAAAGAATATGTATTATTATTCATTTTATTTATAAAGACAGAAACAACAATGGATATCATTTAGTTCCGACTTTGAGGGACCATTAATAGTACTGTACTGTTTTTCTCCATAGTGACTATAGGCTCTTTTCAAATTTTATTGATGCGGGCTTGGAACATTTGTTACGAATACAATAGTTAGATTTTACAATATTGATTGCTCAGGGAAACTAATAGGTTTGTTGACAAATTTTATAAAATTCTTATAAAATTGTCAAGCATATGATGTATTTAAAAAAAAATCCATCTGTCTTTTATATCAGTATTTGTTGGATGAGGGACGCACGTGTATACCAACATTCAGAAGTAAAGACTTCTTTCCTCCAAGTTGCTTTGGTACTTGTTATTCATCTCGTACTCATTTTTTTTTAACATTTTGAAAAGTAAGAACTAGAAGTGCAGTTTTAGTTTTACTTTTAAGTTTATCCGGTTGCCGTCACAACAGTTAAGCCATTTTTAGAAATGACAACTACTGACCGGATTACAAGAGATTAGAAACAAAATCCAAGATTATTTTCTTTAATCGTATTTATTGTCAGGTGTACTAACAGCATTCAGTCCCATTTTTATACTGTTCATTCAAGGGTTTAACATTTCATTTAAGCCTTAAATTTTAAGGTCATTTTCTATTCTCTGTTCTTTACGCATTTTGTAATTTATATTTAAACAGATCGATGATGATTTTTCTTTCTTTCTTTCTTTCTCTCTCTCTCTCTCTCTCTCTCTTTATTTAAGGAAAATCTTGGAATTTATAGAAATCGTAACTTTAAACTAATTTATGTTATATAACTTTGTTTACTTGAACATTTTTTGAACAACTAAAATAAATCTATTTTCTAAGCCACGATTCATATGTTGTCAATATTCATATGAAAAGACAAGAAGGTCAATATGTTCTGTCAACCGATTTCGATTTAGTCTTGTTCAATTAAGATAAAAAAATACCCACTAAAAATCGGGTCTATTTCGATTACAGGAAACAAAATCGCATTCAGATTTCGATTTATTGATGGAGTTTATTTAGAAAAACTGTAAATGACCAGAAAGCCGCGTCACTCCATAAATGAAAGACACGCTCTACATCACTGGGTACTTTGTCTTTTTCATTATTCATTTATTTTTATAGTATATTAAATATCGTTTACGAATCCTACTAGTTGGATGAGTATTTTGTACGAATTTGAAATATTGTTTGAATATAAAGGCGATATGTAGAATTTGGGAGAAGAAAAAGAATAAATCGTTGTGTTGGTAACGTTGTTCGTCATTCATCACTGACATCATTTGTCGAAAAAAAAAAGTCCTTACCGCGTGGGCAGACTCCCCAAGGCAACAATATAGTGATAGTTGAAATAACTAACAACATTAACAATCATCATTAATGTTCCCTTGAAGCAGTGTATCTTTTTTAAGTGAAATATTGTTATTTGTCCTATTTTCTAAGTCGACGCCTGAGTTTTTTTTAGGCTTTTTTACCCCAGCTCTCTGTATGTATGTTTAAAAAAAGTATTTAATCATTTTCATTTTCTGAATAGCTCTATTTGAAAACTAAAATACAAAACAAGTCTACTTATTCCTAAATTTTGTTCCCCCGACCAATACATATTGAATTGAACATTTTTAACGCAGTATTCTAGACATGAGATAAGCTAATTAACTTTAAAAATAATTTACTTATTGCGAATAAATAAATAAATAATAATAAACAAATGAATTTTTAAAAGGGAACAACGAGATAAACATATGGTAAGCTTTAAAAACAACCAAAGAATTTCTTCATGACCAAATAATTGTGGCACTGAAATAAAAAAAAAGTTGGAT